AGGCAGGCATACCGTTCAGGGTTTGCAAGGGTTAGGCGTTAGGGAGTGTCCAGAGGAGTTTTGCATGTTCCTGGCACCTGGTCATGTACAAGTACATACAGTGGTTATTATGGATCAGAATCATGAGACATGCAATAAGCTCAGTTGCGAAGTAGGTAACCTTCAACCTTTCTGGGGGTAATAGAATCCCCTTGTAATCCCAAAGGTTATCCTTTAGTTCCCCTAGGTACTGGACAACTAGGTAAAAGGAATAAGCCTCTCGTGCCCCAGTTACTGACCCATGCATGACAGGAAGCGGTGCACGGTGCGCACCTGCTCCTCGGAAGAGGAGGCAGCATGCTGGAGGTCTTCGTTGGCTCTGTCATCGGCAGCCGTTTAAGCTGCCCCTACCCTAAGCTTTAATCTGAAACATTCTGAAACCCTACACTTCAATATTGAACTCGACACTTTTCTATTAAACCATAAACTTTCATATTAAACCCTAAACTTTAAAATATCAAACCAAAAACTTTCATATTAAACACTAACCTTTAAAATATTAAACCCTAAGCTATGCAGAATGTGATGCAGGCAGTCCAGATCTATGGACGCCTCTACCAGGAGGCGGCGCATCGCAGGAGGAGACGCGTGGGACAGTTAAGGACCCCAAGAAGGTACCCCTTAACATCGTAAACCCCCAAATGGCCCAAATGACCCCGCGGGTGCGAAAGTTTGCTGAGAGGAGGCAGGTGGAGCGCCAGCAGGAGGTGCCCGGGGTGTTCCCAGGGTTTAGGGTTTCGGGTTTAGGGTTCAGGGTTCAGGGCTCAGGGTTTAGGATCTCTGTCATTCTGTTTTGCTTGCCTTCGGCATGTGGGCATTCAGTATTGTACTGGGTGGCGGTGGCACTGCCAGTTTTGCTAAACCCTAAACCCTAAACCCTAAACCCTAAACCCTAAACCCTAAACCCTAAGCCCTAAGCCCTAAACCCTAAACCCTAAACCCACTGCTAGAGGGAAGCTCTAGGAGTGAACCGCAGGAAGCCCTGAGCTGTCTCAGCTCCCAGTGCTCAACCTCCTCTCTGCGGAGCCAGGCGGGGTACCTCTGTCGGGACTGATACACTGCCATAATGAGATAGAAATATGCCACGGTAATAACAGGATGACAGCAGAATAACTGCTATCATGGTATAAAAACACGATAGTATCAGGATCATGGCAGAATAACCAAACGAATCGCCTGCAATTTAATAATAGATGAATAGAACAATAGAAGCATCGAATCATAGAGTCATAGAAGAATGGAATTAGAATAACTGAAGAATAGATTTTTTCACAATAGAACAATAGAATAATGAAATATCCGAATAACAGAACAATAGAATACTAGAAGAAAAGGTAGTAACAGAATAATGGAATAATAGGATGGAACAATAGAATACTAGAATAATCAATAGAATACTCGATAATGGAATAAGAGGTTGTACAGTGAATCTCTTTACGCACGAGACTACGTGCTAAGATGAGTTGGCAATGGCATAGCTTTTGTGCTGCACCGCTTATGGGTGCCACAAATCTCGCACCCCCCTGCTTGCTAAGGCTAGTTGGGGTTTGCAATCACTCCCATCAAGGGATCGGGAGAAACTGTACAGGCCATGCACGGCTAGACCAGCGCGGCACTCCCATCAAGGGATCGGGAGACACTGTACAGGTCATGCACGGCTAGCCTAGAACGGCGAGAGATGACTTGGACAGGGTTCTCCTGCAGGCAGTGCAATAGTGAAATAATGTAATAACGCAAACAATGAGAATGTCACGGCATCATATGGGGTTTCCGAAATTCGGGGTACCTTATTATTGGGGTCCTTAATATTTGGGGGGGGTCTATATTTCTCCCATAATGCCAGAGAAGCAGCGATCCAAGGATGCTCGGGTCGAGATGACACAAGCAGCCCGAAACCGACATGGCAATCTTATCGAGGAAGTTTGCATCCGTCGCGTGAAAGCCATGGCCCCCCCAGAGAAAACCGAAGCTGACTCGGAGACCGATCGACCCATAGTCGTTCAACTCATGCACCTCGTTTCGACGACACGCCTGTTTGCTTGGAGGGAATTGGCTGCCCGCCACCTCCCCATGAATTGAGCTGACTTGAGTTTGCAGACAGAGAATGTGTACTGCTGGGCAATCTTCGTGACTGGCACGGGCAGGCAGATGGACCTCCGCGCTGGGAACAGCTCTACCACAGTGCACCTCTTAAGGAGGCAGGGCCCAGACACTCTTCACTCCAGGAAACTCTTGTAGCATCGACACCCTTGAGCCCCGAAACCGAAACCCTGAACCCTAAAACCCCCAACCCCAATTGTTTAACATCCTACTCTGAAGAGTCGATCGTAAACCCTAAATCCCTAAATCCCTAATTGCATAAATCCCTAAACCCCAAAACCCTAAACCCTAAATCCCTAAACCCTAAACCCTAAATCCTAAATCCCTAAATCCCTAAATCCCTAAATCCCTAAATCCCTAAATCCCTAAATCCCTAAGCCCTAAGCCCTAAATCCTGACAGAAGCGCCTCGGGGATGAGCGCAAGCGAGCTGCCGAAGCCGAGGAGCGATGGCTGGCAGGGGGGCCCAAAAAATCCTCTTGGGGGCCTCTAAACAACTCTGCCAATTCGTGGGGTTTAGGGTTTAGGGTTTAGGGTTTGGGGTTTGGGGTTTAGGGTTTAGGGTTTAGGGTACAGGGATTAGGGCAACAGGGTTTAGGGTTTATGGGTGCGATCGGGTGTCAGACCAGAAGGATGTGCCTGAACAGTACTCGAGGCGGCTTGATGCGCGTCCAACGCTGAGGCGCAGCACTGCATTCACCGCAGCGGCGAAGATGCCGACTCGGTGGAGGCTGCATTCAAGACGAGTTATCAGGGTTCATAGGGTTTAGGGTTTAGGGTTAGCTGACACCGGCAGTTGCATTTCGGCTTCGCGCCGAGTTAACGGCACAGTCGCCAACACAGCATTCCAAAAGCAGGGCCTTGCATGTCTAGATTGTCACGCAATGCGAGGAGGAATGTCTAAGGCCACCTATCTTCCGGAGGTGTATGGCTCTTCCGAGACGCTAAAGAGGGCGTGCCCTGTAGCAGCGAACGCTCGCCCCTAAACCGCCCAGATCTTCGAACGCCTCTACGGCGAGAGTGAAACCCGCGAGCGGCGCAGAGAGCAACGCCGAGCTGCTGAAGTTCGACCCTCGGGGGGCTTGGGGGTACCTACTTTTGGTTCAGGGTTTCGGCTGTAGGTTCCTTAAAAAACAGAAGAACAGAAGAAGGAGGGGGTCCTAACCCCCTATCCCCCTAACCCTCCTAACCCCCCTAACCCCCTAAACCCTAAACCCTAAACCCTAAACCCTAAACCCTAAACCCTAAACCCTAAACCCTAAACCCTAAACCCTAAACCCTAAACCCTTCTCTCACTCCCAACAGGGGGAGCTTGCCATCTCCTGCTTTTAGGTGGCCTCCCAGGAGCGCGCGCTCGCTGAGAGTGCCCAGCCCAGGGGGCAGAAGGGCTTGTAGGGTTTAGGGTTTAGGGTTTAGGGTTTAGGGTTTAGGGTTTAGGGTGTAGGGTTTATGGTTTAGGGTTTAGGGTTTAGGGTTTAGGGTTTAGGGTTTGGGGATTAATATAAGGGTTGGAACAATCACTAACAACATTCCCCTATGGTCCATATACGTACAACAATTCTAGAATAACCCCCCAAAACCCTATTCTAATAATTACCGCCCCCAGAGTAGACGAAGAGCCGCATTTCATGTCTTCTGAACCCACTTCTCTTGTGGCTCCATTACAGGCTTCTTAATTTTAAGAGGGCTGGGGTATGTAGTTGGGGGATGTACTAGACCCCCTTGTTACACCCTACGCTTGCCTATGTTTAAGAGAGTATGTGTTCAGGCACGTTTTACCTTCCCTACCGTGCAAAAGATATGGAAGTCCGGAAGGAGCTCCCTCATGTGCAGCCCAAGAGGGGCCCTACTTTTCAGTGCCCGCTTCCACGCAGCTCTAGCAGCCATCTTCTAGGAGGTTTCCAGACCCTCACCAGCAAGTACTGTGTCCGTATACATCATGTGGCTACGTGTACAACAACCCACGCAAAAGTGAAGCTGCGGAAGTCCAGGCGGACGGCTAGGTAGGCCCGGCTCGTAGTCAGTGAGTTTAGAGCAATTCCCATGGGCTTATTTACAGTAGGGCTTATAGAGAGTTGGGGCTTTAGCACGGTGAAGGTGCCTTTCTCCACCAAGTACCGTACCAGTTTTGTGCTCCATTTGTGAAGCCTCTTCAAGCCCCAGGCTCCGTCCACAATCGTACTCTTTCGGTGGCGGACCTGGAGCTCAGAACAAGGCTCGCTTGCCGCACGTCCAGCACTCCCTTAGAGATTCGTTGCTGCCCGCTCGTGCTCTCCTACGCTCAGTAGCCGGCAATGGTTTAGGGTTTAGGGTTTAGGGTTTAGGGTTTAGGGTTTAGGGTTTAGGGTTTAGGGTTTAGGGTTTAGGGTTTAGGGTTTAGGGTACCATTTTGAAGCCTCCCAGAGGCTTGCACTGTCTGAGGCGCCTCTACGAAGACGGCCTACAGCGCTTGCAGCGACTTGAGGACTGGAGTGTTCCGGTGCTGCATGATTCAGCTTGATAAGGGAGGTCCATGGAAGGGTCTTTAAACTTTAAAATGCAATAAACCCCCCTAAACCCTAAACCCTAAACCCTAAACCCTAAACCCTCTAAACCCTAAACCCTAAACCCTAAACTCTAAACCCAATAGATTGGGCGGGTTCTCTTGACCGAGCCGCCGCCGACAAGTCTGGCTCCACTTAGCCGTGGGCCGCTGAAAGCCAAAGTGCTTTTCTTGCCTCCCTGCGTGAGCCTGAGGTCCCTAAACCCTAAACCCTAAACCCTAAACCCTAAACCCTAAACCCTAAACCCTAAACCCAGTGAGCTTTGGACTTTCAGCTCGTGATTCAAGTCACCAAGGATGCGGGGACAGGCCTCCGAGCAATGAAGGTGCTCTTCTTTGCCGCTTTGGCGGCACCTCTTGTGCAGTCGGCTGTGAGGCTGAGGTCGTGCTGGCCTCAGTTCCCTCAAGCTTCGCACAGGGTTTAGGGTTTAGGGTTTAGGGCTTAGGGAAGCTTCATGGAGGAAGAACGCCGAAAGTGAATGCTTCGTTCATCGATGGCCAAGGCAGGATCGCCCTTGGTACGCCAGCCTGGAGCCTAATGGCCAGCGGAATGGCTGTTAAGGAACCAAGTGGCTGACATGCTGCTGCCTTAGGCTCGGAGCCAACCCCGAGCCTGGAAGCCTGGAAACCGGCCTGCTCGCTTTCCGGGAACATCGGAGAAGATCAGGGAACATCAGGGAACATCAGGGAGTATCAGGGAACATGTGTGTGTGTGTGTGTTGTTTTCTTATGTTTCCTTGCCACGTGCTGACCTAGGCTCGGCGAGAACTGAGTCCGCAGACTGCAATGCTCCTTGCGCCCCTGGCCCAAGCTGATCTTCGCAAGACATCGGCCTCAACACGAGTTCCCTCTAGTTTGCTTAGGCCCTAGGCCCTATGGCCCTGTGAATCCCTGTGTTAGCTTGCGGCCATATGGAGAAGAGCTTGGCATATACTCTTCAAGATAAGCTGCGTTTCTTCACAGAGGAACATATGGAAGCTTGCGGAGTGGGGCTGCCTGATAGGTTGTACCTGCTCGCGTTTTCGAGGCCTGGGACTGTGGTACGCCTGAGTGTAGCCAGTCCTGCAAGGCGGATCGGCACTCAGCCTCGGGGTTCTTGTGCTGTAGTGCCTCGGAGCTGCAGCATGCTGCAGGGTACATTTCACGTTGCTCCCCCACCTGTCTCATGAATTGTGTTGGGCATGCTGCAAAAGCTGTACTAATCAAGATGGATAGTTACGTGCAGTGTTGTTGTAATCCGAGCGTTCTTCGTCAGCACTCGGACCAAGCAGTGTGATGAGGTCAAACTGCAAACATAGGACATGTGCAGTGAATTAGGCACGTTTGTATAGTCTGTATATTAGTTTTTTACGCTACGCGACCCGCCTCGGCCTGAGCTTCTGTAACGAGGCAACCCAAACCGGAAACCCTAAACCCTACACCCTAAACCCAAACCCCAGACCCCAAATCTAAACCCTAAACCCTAAACCCTACACCCTACACCCTAAACCCTAAACCCCAAGCCGGGCTTCTCGGAATCCCACTGAAGGTCTGCCAGCCGCCCAGATGCTTCACAGCCTGTAAGAAGCCGCAGGAGCAGGACTTGAAGGGTTTAGGGTTTAGGGTTTAGGGTTTAGGGTTCAGGGTGTAGGATTCTAGGGTTCCGGAAGCCCCCGAGTCGGTTTCAAGTTTTGGGGAGGTTTCCCTGCCCCCGGTGGGGCGTACAGTACACCGACCCAACCCTACTTTAAACTCCAAACCCTGCGTGCAGCATTGGTTCAGAACCCCCTCACCCCCAAACCCTGAATCTACACAGTAGCAGAGATTTTTCTGAACTCTCAGCCCCAAGCCCTACGTAATAGCACCCTAGTATGTGGCAGAATGTTGTTCAGAGTCCGAGCCCCAAACCCAAACCCCGATGTGTAGCCGACCATCTTCTTGCGTGCGCAGGCCAAGAAGCCCCAAACCCTGCAAAACCTACACCCTGCCCCTGAAGAATACCCAAGCCCTAAACCCCAAACCCGACACTCTGGACCCTGAGGCTCAGACCTAAACCCTTAACCCTAAACCCCCAACCCACCCCTGATATGCGGCAACAGGACTGCCGGCACGTCTGCAAAGTGCCGGCCCCAGCGCCCCCTGCTTCTCTACTGTAGTAGGGGTTTAGTTTAGGATTTGGGGTGTAGGGTTTGGGTTTGGGGTTCGTAGGATGTTCATGTCAGGGTGTGGGGTTTAGGGCCGACTGGATCTCGAAAGGATGAGAAGATTCAAGCAAGCATTTGCAAATCATGCTCTGGCGTTCTTATCATAGCTTCTCTTATTCCAGTCCGGTACCGTTTGTGGATATGCTATAAAATGGCGCCCCCAGTTTTCTTATGTAATTCTGCTACTACTGCTGTTTCCGAGCCGAAACTCCTACTGTAATGGGCCGTCGGCTTAGACTGGTGCCAAGGATCCCAAGTGCACCGTGGTGTGTCCGCCGCAGACGTGCCATTCAGAGAACTGTCTGGCGCTCAAGTCCAAAGCTACTAACAGTCGGTCTGCAGGAGTTGTATCAGATGATATATGTATATATATGGAACATATATATCTATATGCTATAGATACAATAGAAGTATAAATGCATACATACCTGAATATACAAGTATGTATATAGTTATGTCAACTACCTATATCCTTTGATTCTCCCAACTCCAAACAAGCAGCGTCCGCTGCGCAGCTCCTTGTGTCGCTGAAGGCCCCCCGCCAGTGTGCAACACTGTTTGCGGGGAAGCGATCTGTCACATGGAGTGCCCGGGAAGCGGGCCCTCGCCCGAGCCAAGCATGTCATGCGGGTTGCGGTTTGAGGCTTTTGGGGCTTCGTGGCCTTGAGGCTGCTAGGGGCTAAATGATGTTAAGGTTTCGCTCCTTCGTGAACGTTGCCTGCCGGATGCATGCCGTGCGCTCTGACCTCCGTCATTTCAAGCAGTGCCAGGTGTGAGACACGGTGCGAAGATCCAGTATGCCACTTCGACTGCCCCATGGCGCAATAACTTGTCCTCGAGTCGAGTAGTCTCCAGGTTCGCAGTGCGCAGCGTGCCCATGAGGTAGTGTTGTCCCACAAGTTCTCGGAACGCATGTTGTGGAATCGCCGTTCAGTTTTTTTTGTGACCGTAAGATCTGACATGAAGCGCAGCAGCATCTCCGCTGTTGGGACGCCCTTCCACAAAAAATGAGGGCAGTTCTACACTATACACTATGGGGGGGGGGGACCCCAACTTAGAAGAACCCCCGCACTTCTGTTTCTCTCCCCCCTTCTTGGGCCCAGGCAAGGTTGACGTGAAGACCTGCGCAAAGCCCGAGTGCAAGCTCACCTGCCCAGCCCTCAAGAGGACCACGTGCCTGGATGGCCTGAGATGCCTTGTTGGGATGCCCTGACTACTATTTGCATATAAGAACCACCCCCCCCCCCCCCCCCCCCCCCCAAAAAAAAAAAGAAAAAAAACACAAAACAGTTCTTCCAATTATCAAGGAAATATAGGGATTCTTAGGTCTATTTTTCGGGGGGTTCTTAAGCAAATGGTTACCATCGCGTTCTTGAGTCTAGGTTTGGCGACCTTGGGTCTGCAGCTTCCTAAAGTTTCGGACGTGCTCTGCTTTTGTGTCGCTTCGAACTTGCCTTGTTTTGAGGCCCCAAGGTGTCGGGAGCCTGGTTCAGCGGTGCTGAATGCTTGTGAGCTGCGGCACATGCCCACTGAACAAGGCTCAGAGCAAGGCAAAGGCACATGGAATCCTTACAAAGTGGCCTTAGATCCTCCCAAAAATATACATGGAGCCTTGCCGATCTCAAAGGATCATGTCGAGATATCCGGCGTCCGTAGAGAGATGCCTGACCACCTTATGCCACGCACCGAGGGGCTGCCACAACAAGACCTCCATAGGCGCGGGAGGGGGCGAAGAGGGTATCTCTTAAACGTAAACCGGCCCGGTGTGATGAACTTCTCTCCTGCAAAGCTGTTCCAAGCTTGCGCTCGCGCTTAAAGACTTATAGGTGTCTCTGAACGGCTTGTCTCATACAGCTGCTGCCAGACCTTCCCTTTGCCTACCGGCTGGAGACCAAAGCGGAGCCAGGTGCGGAAGCCCGGCCATCTCAGCTTTTAGTTGTAGGCGTCCCAAATGGTCAGTTCCCTAAATTGTGGTCCCTTTTTGGGTACCCTAAACCAGAGGGGCCGCCTTATAGTAAGGACCTGAAAAAAAGACCATATTTTTGAGAACTGACCAAATGGGAATTCCCGCTCTTTGGCAGGCTACAGGTCCAGCATGGTGAATCCCGACTGCTTTGGGGGTAGGCGCTGCAGATCTCCGGCTGGAGGGCCCCCCTTAGGCCACCTTAGACCCTAAGCCCCAAAGTCCCCACCCTCTAAAACCCCTTAAGCCCTAAAGTTGGCCCTACACTCGGCTTATAGCTACCCAGATGAACCACCAAGTACGTCCACCAAGTCTAGGCTTCTCAGTGACAAAACTCAGCCTTTGTACCGGGTCAAAAAAAGGAGGAGCTTGTGACCTCGAGTTCCCGCAAGCCCTACACCTGGATTTTAGCACTCCTTTGCCAGGCTCTAACGTTTTTTCCCCCCCCCCCCCCCCCGCCTTCCCCTCCCCAAGCTCCAAGCACTGCTCTGAGGTGCTTCTGCCAAAGGAGCGGCCCTAGCCAGGACCGGGCGTTTCACAGAAGGGGCCTGGAGGGCTTATTTGGAGGTTCGCTTGGGTAGTTCGAAGTAGGGTAGGGACTCCCTGTAGGGACCCTAAGTAGGGTCAGGAGTATAGACACCATCAGGATAACCCTACTTATAACTACCCATGAGCCTCCAAGTAGGGCTTTATGGCTTTAAGACGCGGGACGCCCATTCAAGCTGGCGTTTTGGGGGGCTAAAAAGCCTGAGGGTGTCACGTTTAAGAGTTGCCTTTGGTGCCCAGGCTTAAAGGTTCACACCCTAAACCCTGGAGCTGGAGCCCTACCAGTAAAACCTAAACTCTAGTTGAAGGTGCAGGTTAATGTTGGCAGCACAGGGTCGGAGCTTTGCAGGACTTGAGAGGTCGTGTCCGGTTCTTTTTTTTTTTTCGGGCGGGGGGGGGGGGGGGCGGGGTATCACTGAAGATCCTTCCGGTGGTGCTGTGCCGTCATGTCTTTTTTGTGCACATCGGGTTAAAAGGTCTGGACGTTTGAGCTGTGGATGGTGCTGGTGAGTTCCGGTTTAGTGCTTAGCAGCTAGATGCCTGTTGACAGAGTTTTCTGTGACGAGAGACAACCCTCTTTGTTTTTTGAGGGGGGATGGGGTTGGTGGTGTTGAGCCTGTCCTTCATGAGCAGATTCCCTCGATAAATGCAAATCAGTCAGGAGCGATGATTCAGGAGAGTTGTGTTCTTGCCATGGACATATAGGAGGACTAGACCTCCTTGCCTCTGCCCCTAAACTTTCCCAAATCCTAACCCCGGAACCCTAACCCTCAACCCTAAACCCTCAACCCTCAACCCTATAAACCCTGAACCGCAGCTTTCCTAAGCCCAAGTCTTTGTTCAAAGAAGCGGCTTGCGGGAGGCCTACAGCTGCCGCAGAGGGCGAAGTGGCGTGGAAGGGGCTGGCGAAGGCTGGGTTTAGGGTTTAGGGTTTAGGGTTTAGGGTTTAGGGTTTAGGGTTTAGGGTTTAGGGTTTAGGGTTTAGGGTTTAGGGTTTAGGGTTTAGGGTTTAAAGTGGTGCTTCTATTTTTCCGAGCGCCCCTTGTGAGAAGGTCCCGGAAGCCTATGGCGCGACAGGGGCTCAGCTGCATATGCCCACTGTAGTTTGTAGGATGTCAGGCGGACATCAAGGCTAAAGCCAAAACCCGGAGCCGCTGCGGAAGAGTGCGATATTTTTTTAAAATACGTAACAGGTCCATTTCCAGCTTAGGCCATTGCACGCTGCATTTGCACATAGTAATATCATATGAGGGTGCATGGCTTCAGGAACCCTAACCCTCTAGCCTCTAACCCCCTAACCCCCTAGAGCCGAAAACGCTAGACTCCTGCAGTTCCTTTCGTGTCAATGAGGAGAAGCCCCAATCTAAGGATTGACCACGCGGAGTACCTGGCAGCTGCCCAGGCCAACTGGAGTTGTGGCAAGACGTGTACAGCACCATAAGAGCTACGCCCTGAACCCCCAGAATTATTTGCGCCCTAGCTCACTATAAGTACTACCAGCAGTACAGCAGTACAGCAGTACCGGTGTCATCATGATGAATCACTATCATCGCTATGTAATCATACCATGCGTTCAGAACTCGCCACACTAGGACCTCTGCCTCTAGGAGTGGGTTCTTCCGAAAAGCCCAAGTACTACCTGGAACTCTCAGGCTTAGGCATGGAACGTTGCAGTTGCTAAACAGGGGTTGAACACCTAACTGCCTAACCGATGATAGTTCGTGATACTGGGCTCCAGGCGGTGCAGCCTGTAAGAGCCCTGTTGCACTGTAGTCCCTAGTCCCCTAGACCGAAAGCAGGAACCCTGCTGGAACGGTTCCGGTCGTTTCAAACCGGAACTCCCTAGACCCCTGACCCCAACAGTCTCTCTTGGGTTTTTATAAGCCTAACTAGGGGCTTCTTATATCTCCCAGCTGTTTTGGGGTCTTCATATTCTCATGTAGGGGGGGGGGGCGCTTCTTCTTCCCCAGCCCTAAACCCTAGCCCTAAACCCTAAACCCCAATACTTCTGCCTCAAGATTGCAAGGCTCCCGCACCGGCGCCGGCACCTCGCCCCGCAGAGGGCCAGGGGCCTGTGCGCTCAGGCCCCCGGGTTTAGGGTTTAGGGTTTAGGGTTTAGGCTTTAGGGTTGTTTTGGGAGCTCCGAAAATTACAGGGGCTTGAGGCCCTTTTGTGGGCTGGGGGGAGCCTGAAGGTGTTCTTGGAAGGGTGTCGCTACTTTCGTGCTGGAAGCTGACAGGGGACTGTGACCATGCGACAAGCATCCCAGGAGCCTAAGCCAGTGCGCAGCAACGGGCGCGAGGTGCTTGGCTGGGTTTGCCTGCATGTGCTCGGCATGGGTTACGTGCAGATTTTGTTGATAGCACGGGTTGGCCCTGTGGGTGTTTTTGGCGATGCGGTAGGTGCATAAAGAAATGGCGTTTGATGATTTTCGACTGCCGAGATGCTGGTCGTGTATTCGGTCATTTATGCTCCATGCACCCAGGTTCGTACGCAGGAAAGAGCAGTGGACGCTGCGTTTGACACCCTGGCAGCCCGGCGCAGCACGCGAGAACAAAAAGCAAAGCCTGTTGGTCAAGTACTTATGCAATTATGCCCTACCAGTAAACCCTAAACCCTAAACTTGCCCTAAACCTTCAGTTGGAAGGGATTCCTTTCGTGTGGTGCCTTAGCCGGTCACAGCCCACTTAGCAAGTTTCTGGCAGCTGAGAGCTGTGCAGGAGAGAAGGCAGCAGGAATGCCAGCAGGCAGAGGTGCCTTTTTGCCCGGAGTCATAATGAAAGTAAAATTAAACCAGCATGCCGTTGTAGTACTTCTTATAGTGAGTCATATGCAAATATTTTAAGGGGCTGCGCCCATGGGCGGGCAGCGCAGGCAGAAGCGCGGGGCGAGCAGTTTCTAAGCATTTTGAGGCCCCTAAACTCCCTTAAAATCTCTAAGCGTTTGAGGCTCCTCAACTCCCTTAAAGTTTCTAAGCATTTTCAGGCCCCTAAACTCCCTTCAAATCTCTAAGCGTTTGAGGCTCCTAGACTCCCTTAAAGTTACTAAGCACTTTATAAGGCCCCTAAACTCCCTTTTTCCTAGCCCCGGGCTTAGACACGTCGCTTATGCCCGCCCTTTGGGGGGCGTCATGCTCCTGATGCGCCCCCGGGGTCCCGCCCCGGGAGCCGCCTGATGCTCCTGATGCGCGCCTGGGGGTCCCGGGCTGGACCCGCTGATGCTCATGATGCACGCCCTCTGTAAGAATTGAAGCACGCTAACATCGGGCAGGCACCAAGAGGTGGGAGGGCGGCGGGGGCGGGAAGGGTGGGGGGGGCGGGGGGGGGCGGGGGCAGCAAGGGCAGCGAGCCAACCTTACGAACAGCAAAGCAGCGAGGGGGGGGGGGTCGGGCATGCACTAGTGGGGAGGGCGGAGGGGGCGGGAAAGAGCGGGAAGGGCAGGGGCAGCTAGCAAGGGCAGTGAAAGGGTTCCATTACTGACAGCAAGGCAGGAGGGGGGTTGGGCAGGCACCAAAACGTTTCGGGCATGTGCTGGAGCCCTTAAACCACACCATTTCTTGGTGGAAGGGGGGGGGGGAGGGGGTTGGGCAAGGTGGAGGCAAGAGAGCAAGGGGCGGGGGTAGGAGGGGGGGGGGGCGGGCAGGGCAGGGGCAGCAAGAGCAGCGGAAGTCGGGAAGGCGGGAGGGTTTGAGCCCTTGCAACACTCCATGACTAGGTGGGAGGGGGGGCAGCAAGGAGGGGAAGGCTCCGAGGCAGCGGGGAGGGCGGGGGGGGGGCGGAAAGGGCGGGAAGGGCAGGGGCAGCAAGGGCCCTTAAAACACTCCATTACTAACAGCAAGGCAGCAGGGGGTTGGGCAGGCACCAAGAAGGGGCCAAGGAGCGCGGGGGCAGTCGGGAGGGCGGGAGGGCTCGGGCATGCACCCCTAAACCCTAAACCCTAAACCCTAAACCTTAAACCCTAAACCCTAAACCCTAAACCGCGTGGAGGCAAGGGGCCAGGAGCGCGGGGGCAGTCGGGAGGGCGGGAGGGCTCGGGCATGCACTTGAGCCCTTAAGCGGGAGGGGGCACTAACAGCAAGGCAGAAGGGTGGGGGGGGGGGGGGGGGCGAAGGCAGTAAGGGCAGCGAGGCACTGGGCGAGGAAGCAGACAGCAAGGGCAGCGAGGCACTGGGCGAGGAAGCAGACAACGATGGGTCTTCACTGACGCCGCCCCCGCTCCGGCTGGGGTCGGATAAAAAATGAGTTTACGCTGAGATGTATATATATATATATACATATTATATATATATATATATGTTTATTTATTTATATACATATAATATATACCTCAACCGAGCTTAGGAGCCATACATGATGTCTTCCTCTGCACCGGACATCAGTGGATACGCTTGCTCTCGCAGTTTTGTAATTTGCATCACCTGCTCGATATGGCAATGTAAGAGGAGCTCAAGTACTCGCCTTGCAGTCAGCGAAATAGATCTCAAGGTCGGAGAAGGACCCTCAGACAAGCCTACCATGACCACTGGCAACTACCAGCAAGATCAACGAGACTACATCTCCACACGTGCACCTGCCCAAGCAAAGGAGCCACAAGTCCTGACAGCCCTTTTGGATCCCCGACCCAAAGCCAATTTGCAACACGCAGTACGTTCAACTCTTGAACCATCAACCCCTGCCCCTAAAATCTAGTCCCTCATGCACCTAAACCCTGACAAACCCGTGCCCCTGTACCTTAAACCCTAATAAGCAGACCGTCCCCTCCCGCCCCCCCAAAAAACCCTAAACAATCCTATAAACCCTTTAAATGCCCCCAAAACAAAGAACAAGCCTTATCAACCCCTCAAGGATCTTGTAAACCCTATAAACCCTTCAACACCCTCTGAACCCTCCAAAAACTCCTACCCTAAACCCTAAACAAACCCTAAACCCTAAACCCTAAAGCCCTGGTAAATTCCCTCCAAAAGCCTGTGGACCTCCGAAGCCCCAAAGCCAGGCGCCCCGCCGCTCGGCCTCGGCGGGGCCTTCAAGGTGCAGGGTTTAGGGTTTAGGGTTTAGGGTTTAGGGTTTAGGGTTTAGGGTTAGGGTTTGGGGTTTAGGGTTTAAGGTTTTAGGGTTTAGGGTTTAGGGGCTTCTAACACGGTTGTCAGACTTTTTAGGGGTTTAGGGTTTTAGGGGTAGGTTTTTCGGGGTTTAGGGTTTAGGGGCTAGGACTAGGACGGGGTTTTCGGGGTTTAGGGCTTACTGTAAGGGTTTAGGATGGTTGTTTTTGGACATATTAGGATTTGGGTGTTCAGGTTTTGGGGACTTCGGCTTTTCGGGTTGTGGGTGGCTTGATTGGGCAAATTTAGGAATGTTCACTGAGCCGAAGGTACAAGTGCAGCATGCGAGGATTGGTGGGCGCAGCCCGCGCAAAAGCTGAAGGTGTCTACTTTGTTAAACGTATGTTTTTATTTGCCCTGCACGTCCGGGGAGGTTCGAGATGCTGTACAGCGATGCCAACCGTCGAGATGAAGACCGCAAGTTCTGGCAGGATCGATGGGGGAAGGCTAGACTTCAAGTGAGGCAATTGCGCTGCGGATGTCTAGTCTCGACACAGCAAGAAAAGCGTGCTACTGCAGCAATCATCGGTGGTCTTTGTTTGTCTCAGCGGAAAGGGGGCCGGCATATACCTTTTGAAGTCAATGCCATGTGTGCGGCATGCGATAGCTGTAATTAGGAATTCGCCCCAGTGTTGCTTGTCAGAGTTTTCATAATCATGCGCGCAAGAGAGATCTTCATCTGCCAGAAATGCCACGAGAAGGAGGAGTTGGAGATGTGCGGGACCCTATGGCAAGTCAAATTGAGATAGAAGGCTGCTCGATCAGGGAAGACATTCCGCTAGCAGGCAAGTCGTAGACAGCTGCACACAGATCTACAATTTTGCTTAAGAGGCCCCCCCAAAAAGCAAAAATAGTAATCCCTATATTGCGACTAGAAGGAAGAATAGAAAAACAATCTTTCTATTTTTGGGTGGTTCTTACGCAAGTGGCAGAGATCAGGTGCCAGCGCCCGTCGGGGAAAGTGCCGCCGTGCAAGCGCCAGGTGCCAATGAAGGGCTTGGGAGTGGTACTGCAGCATCTCAAGATCTTTGCAGCCACCTTTCGCGTAGGCAGCTGATCCTCCTAACTAAGCCCTAAACCCTCAACTCCTCAACCCGAAGCACTCATGAAGATGAGGAAACCTCGTCTCGTGATATGTTCAAGATTTGCACCCCTGGAGCCAAGACCGTTCAGTCCCCAAGATACCCCCCCTTAAAGCCTTTTAGGGTTTGGGGGTGTAGGGTTTAGAGTTTAGTTTGGAGTTTACCCTAAACCCTAAACCCTAAACCCTACACCCTAAACCCTAAACCCTTATCCTACCCGAAGCCCTGAGCCCTAAGACTGCCGTCCGCCATCAGCACTTGGGAGGTGTCTGCTCAAAGGACGCCGACCCCAGTGAAAACTCCCCGGAGCGCCAGGCCACGAGTTGACTTGGGGTTTAGGGTCTAGTCTAGGGACTAGGGTTTAGGGTCCAGGGTTTCGGGTCCAGGGTTTAGGGTTTAGGGTGGGGGGCCACAAGAACTCCAGGTTCTAGGGTCTTAGGATCTGGCTTTGGGGTATTAAGGATTCAGCTACGTGCACGCCATGCGGGTTGCTACTTCAGGATTGGCCCGGATTGGCATGAGGGGCCCTAGGCCCTGAGTCGTGCCAGCAGGAGCACTGCAGAAACGACACCTGAGCGCAGCCGCTCCAGCTGGCTGCGCGAAGAGTAGCTGCTCACGAAGCAGGGCTTCCCCCAAGAGATCCTGCGGAAAGGAGGGTGCTTCTAAGACTTTAAGCCTTAGGCCCCCCCCACTCACCCCCCCCCCGGCCCTCCGCTAACAACACAGAATCAGGATCCTGCATCACTGCATCCCAAGCCCTAAACCTCAAACCCTCCTTGCATTCATTTGGGTAGCTAGAAGTTGGGCTACAAGCGCCCTAAATAGGGTTTAAGTACAGGTACCATACTTACAGCCCTATACATATAACAACCCATGAGCCTCCATGTGCGCGCCAGGGATCACCAAAGGGGGGCCGACACGGACGAGCTGGAGATGGCGCAGGAAGCAGGGACCTCAAAAGACCCACCCTAAACCCTAAACCCTAAACCCTAAACCCTAAACCCTAAACCCTAAACCCTAAACCCTAAACCCTAAACCCTAAACCCTAAACCCCCTAAGCCCTAAACCCTAAACCCTAAACCCTAAACCCTAAACC